ACAATTTGTGTTTAGTGGATTATAATTATAACTGAATTAGTGACAAGTTTGAATATGTGATTAATGTATTATTTGTAAAACTTCACTCAAATATAATTTGCCAAAAATATTTGAAAAGTTAGGATCAAACGCTAGCTAAATTTCATGTATTCAAATGCTGATTTGATATTGTGCGCACACAAGTTATTTATGACCTAAATTACGTATTCAAATGCTGATTTAAAATTATAGTGTCATATTACAGGTGCACACACAAGGTATTAATGAGATGGTTACGATAATTTTGTTATATTCAAGCACTGATTTGATATTATTTAATCCATGTGCACACACAAGTTATTTATGACCTAAATTACGTATTCAAATGTTGATTTAAAATTATAATGTCAGATTACAGGTGTACACTCAGGGGTCGTTTGGTTTGAATATGAGTTATGATGGGATAAGTTATGTTGGGATAAGTTATGTTGGGATTAGTTATGATGGGATAAGTTGTCCTGGGATTATTTCTTATTGAGTGTTTGGTTTGTTATATTCAAAATAATATATATTGATAAATTTTAAGAACAAGTTGTTTGTTTACAAAATTACCCTTCACTTTATTTAAACTTTTTAAATTTTTCTTTGTGAGCTTTAGTTATTCATTTTTTAAAATAAAACTTTTATTTTTTTTAACTTAAATATTTTTGTTTATGTATTCCCATGATAAGTACCATGTGTATTTAAAAATATAACTTTTTTCTTATTTAGCTTAAAAATAGAACTTTCCTCTTAAGTTTATTAAAGAGAAGAAAATTTATGAGAAATCAAAATAAAATAAACATAAGAATTAGTCAAATAAATTCATAAATAAAAATTATATTTATATAGTATAATTTTTTAATAGAAAAATATGTATAATTATCATAAAAATAAGGAGTAGTAAATATTATTATACATGGTATTAAAAAAAATGTAAATATACATAAATGTAAAAAATGATATATAAAAAGGATTTAAAGGGACATATTTGTCATTTACCTATTCTATCTCGGGATAAGTTATCCCGGGATTACTATACCACCCATGGGGAGGGATAACTTATCCCGGTACTAATTATTAATCCCGGGATAAGTTATCCCGGACTTGCCAACCAAACAACATAATTTTTTTTTATCCCATCACTATTTCCTTATCCCATCACTATTATTTCTAATCCCTCACACCAAACGAGCCCTCAAGGTATTAATGAGATGGTTACGATAATCAAATAAATAACTATATTATCATCTTGTGATATACCAGATAAATTTTTTTGTGAAATCATATAGTAATATTTTTTTTAATTTATACAACTGGTTGGACAAATATTAATGATAAAAAAAATTGACTATAAAAGAGCAGCTTTAAAGCATGGGGGGCCGGGGTATTTCTGGAGTTTCCTAGTTTGCAGTGCAAGTTGCTAGATCACCGTGAGTTTTGTTTGATAATAACGGCAACTCATTGTAAATGCTCTTCTACTCATACAAACGGTTCTCTTTAATTTCTTGCCGCAACATCGATAATAACATATTCAATATAATTTTACATGTATGTTCTTATTATCGCGTGAAAGTAGAGAGTTTGTTTGCTATAGACCATCCTCACAGAAGGCATTTGATAAAGAGAAAATAGGGAAGCAAGGTCGGAATAGTAACAACAACAAAATAGTATAATTATTGAAATACAAAATATAACATTTAATAACAAAAATCGAAGAATAAGGAAGGTTGTATGAGAATAATTATACTGCTAAAGTTAATGGTGATATGAATATGAAAATTATGAATGCATTATTTGTATACCTAAAAATATTCTATTGTATTTGTCTTCAATTAGTTTGAAAGCAACTTGGGCATGCTAGCATTTTATTCACGGATTGTCTCGTTATGGTCATCAATTGTTTCAGATTTTACCTTGTCATTTTCAACTTGGATCACTCAATCCACTAATTATGATAGTAAATTATTAGTATTATTATATGACTAATTAAAGCCTCAATGAGAATATTAAATGGTTTTATTTTTCATTTTCATTTAATAAATATTGGTGTTTTATATTTATACATTAGTTCAACAAAAGAAATTTTTAATAGTGTTGACTTTTTAGAAATTTTACCCTGCATGTTTACTAAATAGTAATCAATGTATCTATCTACATACTAATTATAATTATATAACTGTTATACATTATACTTTAAATATACACAGATAATATACAAACTATTACTAATAATTATACATATATATATATGCCATTGCACAAAATATATCGTTCAAGGTCTAAGAAAAAATCGCACCTCAATAAGATATTATATAGTCATTCTACACCCTAAAACAACCTTCAATACCTAATTACTACTATGGTTTTTGGTTATAACCCAATGTTCTGTATTGCACACATATTCGATAAAATTAAATTTCAATCGTGAACTATAAGAGTGAGTCGACCAATTTAGATTGCTTAAACTACAAGACTTATTAGTGAAAATGGCAATCCCTTGCACAATTTTATTTTCATTTTCAGCGATTCAAATTTAAAACTTCTAATTAAAAACGAAAACATTTAATTAATATCTTATTTTACTAATAAAACTCGTGACCTGTAATTTGTAAATCACATGAAAATAGTTTTGTTACTACTCTAAAAACTTGATCAAGATGTTCAGTTTGCACATATATTCGAGTCCGATTAAGTCCAGATCATTTCTGAAAACAACACAACTCCTAGAACATGATTTTTAAATCTAAAACTTCTGATTAAGAATAATTTTTTCTTACGTAATTCTACTTTATTTTATGTATTAAACTCGTGACGTATAAATCACACGAAAACTACTCTAAAAATTTGTTCTAAGATGTTTATAATAAATGATAAGTTTGCGTAAGTAATTGAAGGTGAGGGGAGTAGGAAAAAAGAGTGGGATGCAGCAGGTATTTTGGATGGATTTTTAACCTTTGTCTCTGTCAATTGGATTATATATATAGTGTGTGTGCTGACAGAAGAGATATGAAGCAGCTTTATAGGATAGATGGTAAAATCTGTTGTTTTTTTTTTTTTTTTACTCTTTAATTTAACTCTATACTTTTCTCCTATTTTAAAACTACTTTTTGTTCCTTCCCTTTCATTTACTTCACTGACACACCCAATACCTGCACTTTTCCTCACGCACGCACGCATAACCCCAATAATTCAACCAATCCATCCACATATTTTACTTACAAAAAACTTTATTTTATAACTTTTCAAATACATAATATTTGTAAAGTTATAGAAGTTAAAATTACTCAGATAGACGATAGTTAATAATGGTTCGATCTGTTTTTGACCTCAAGGAGTGGTTAGCAACAGAGAACTTGTTTCAATCAAATGACATATGATATTAGGATAGGACATGCTTTCCTTTGTTATAAAAAAGGAATACATAGACAAGATTCTGTAACTTTCAAATTAAAAAATGTAAGATGAGTGGAAATGTTTTACTTTACGTATGCTTCAATAGAATGAATTCAATATGAATAAAATATAAGTTAAATGGTCAATTGAAGGTGTTGTGACCTTTTGTTATCGATTACCTTCATTTTAAAAATAAATAAATAATACGTAATAAATTGATAGTAAAGAAAGGAATAATAAGGAAGGAAATTACAAAATTAAATATTATCAACAAGTTGAAATGTCAAATAATGAACCTACTTAGTTATTAAGATTCTCTTGTTATTATTAGTTATCTAGTATAGAATATATTAGCAGATACCGGGGTGGTCATTAATTTGTTGATATTAAAAAAAAAAGTAAAATTCCAAGTTAATATAGAAAAAAAGGTAATTGAAAGTTAAAATTGTATTTGTACATGAAAATACGATTAAAATTTTGTGAGTGAAAAATTATAATATTTTTTTTCAAACTTTAAATTACATGTTTCAAGTTAAAAATTGAAATAATGAATTAATTTGATGGAAAGAATACAAAGAAGAGAAATAGAGTTTAGAATCAACGTCACTGTCTATAATGAAATTTATTTTATGTGTCTTTATCAAACGGATTTATAAGGTTGCCTTTATCAAAGCATAAATGATCTTATGGACCCTAGCTATATTGACTTATCAAACCACATCAAATTCCTTTAAATGGGTACAATATTATATTAGTTAAGAACTTTTTTAGTAACATTAACCGAAGACCAAGCCAATAACGATGCAAAATAAAGAAATATAAATTTTGCAGTTGTCTTTCTTTGAGTTTCAATATTTTATTTTGAGAGGCTATTCTATTTGATGATGGTCTTAAAAAAATATTTACACAATCAAAACATTAGAATATAGTTACAAACTAGTATGTTGCTTTGTTTGCAATTTAGAAATCAACAACGAAGCTATGATTTCCATCAATAAATTCAAAATATGAAAAGTAAACACACGAAGAAATCAATAAAAGAATTCAACATCTTAGAGCTATTAGAAAAAGGTAAATTCAATGTCTCTCTCTATATATATTATCATGTATAAGTAATGTAAATTTTCATTGAAGAACGCATAAATAGTAGATATATTATGTATATAAGTTAATATGAGAGAATCTATATAATTGCAATCAATAATAGTTAAATTATCGCATAACTAATCTTTAAATTATACTAATAAATTTGTATAATTCTAATCAGTAATAAAATATTAAGATATACGTTCACACATTATTATTGATATATACAATTTACATCTATAATAAATTATTCACTACCATACAAAAGTTAAAACCAAAAATTTACAAATAAATACATCACCCTTTCCCCCTCTACCCCTCCCTACCCATACTCGTGTGGTTAGTAGTTGTCACACAACTCACAAGTCTCTATACCCCTATACTCAAAATGGCCATTTTCCTCCTCTCTCTTTCTATCTCTAGGCTTATCGATATGATAATAAGGGCCTTAGCATAGCCTATAGCATAGTACAGTACAGAAAGATCATCAGAGCTATAAAAAAAAAAAAAACAGAACAGGACAGGGCAGTTGCACAGATTTTTCCTTTTCCCCACCTACATCATCCATCCTTATGATTTCCTCCCACTCTAATCTTTCTGCAATTCCCATGAACCAAACGTACACTACCATCTCTCCTATAATATAACCCTCAAATCACTCTTCATCTTCTGCATAATGTGTTGTGTTTTCTTTGTATGAAAAAACTTTGAAGTTAGGTTTTATCAATTTCTTAGTGTTTTTGTTGTTGTTTTTTCCATGGAGAATTATCTTCAGATGCAGTTTGATTGCGGTGATCCGCATTTACCACCGGGGTTTCGGTTTCATCCGACTGATGAAGAACTTATTACTTACTACTTGTTGAAGAAGGTTTTGGACTGCAACTTTACTGCTAGAGCTATTGCTGAAGTTGATCTCAACAAATGTGAACCTTGGGAACTTCCTGGTATGAATTTTTTTTTTTCATGTAGTAATTGATGAGTTAAGCCTAAAAAAAAAAACCTAAAATGTTTTTTTTTAATTTTTTTTATTTTAGGGAAAGCGAAGATGGGGGAAAAAGAATGGTATTTCTTCAGTCTACGTGATCGGAAGTATCCAACAGGGCTGAGGACTAACAGAGCTACTGAAGCAGGTTACTGGAAAGCTACTGGAAAAGATAGAGAGATTTTCAGTTCAAAAACTTGTGCACTTGTTGGTATGAAGAAAACCCTAGTTTTCTATCGAGGAAGAGCTCCAAAAGGAGAAAAAAGTAACTGGGTTATGCATGAATATCGCCTTGATGGCAAATTTGCTTATCACTACATCTCCAGGAGTTCAAAGGTACTACTTACTAATGCATGAACATTTTTGGGTTATTGATTAACTGATACACATACATCAATGTATTTTGATGATGAAACTCAATACTTTTTGTTTTGGGTTAAAGAGATCAGATTTACTGGAGATATTCTGTGCAGAAATATATCATTGATATCACTGCTAGAGCCAGAGATTCTGAAGCAGAAAGTTTTGTGAAACTTCGTTTTCAATGTCTCAATTGCTTATGATGATTAAGTCGGAAGTATTCATAGTCTGAATAAAAACAGAAAAAGAAATAAAGTCGAAAAAAGAATTTGCTTTTATTATGATTTATGATCAAAGCAATTAAGACTTTACAGAATAATATACTGTCATGATGATAGCGATTTAATATAATCTCTTTTGAAACTTATTTTATTAGCCTTGACAAGGTGTAAGCATGCTTACGTAGAATCACCAGTCTCTTCGATTTTGACTTCTAGCGTTTTGACATTATTTTTATTTTTTATTAACTTTCACGATTATGTGCTTAACGTTTGTTAGATCAAAAACCCTTTAATCAATAATAAGACAAGCTTTTTAGACGCCACAAATTAGAAGGTCTAGCCCTTAAAGATGTTTTATATTTGTTTTGGTGGCGAATTAGAAGCCTTGATGTGAGTTATATGAACCTAGCAACTTTCGTTCAACAATGTTTTTTTGTTACGAAGTTCATTAAATATGTAAATCTAGCTCTTATTTAATTTAGGACCTAACACTTGCTGCAATTACTTGTAATTTTAGAAGTCGTAATTCGAAAATCTAAAATTTATAAACTTAAAATTTTGACTTCGTCTTTCACGTTTTGATTGTTCTAATATTATTTTTACTACAGGACGAGTGGGTGATCTCGCGGGTCTTTCAAAAAAGTACCGGTTCTAATGGTGCCGCCACTTCAACTGGTGGCGGCAAAAAAAGGTTAAGTTCAAGCATCAACATGTACCAGGAAGTAAGTTCACCGTCTTCCGTCTCTCACCTTCCGCCGCTCCTTGATTCCTCCCCGTACAGCACCACCGCTACTTCCGCTACAGCTATCGTAATCGGCGATTGCGATCGTGATCATCATAGCTTCAAAAAGGAGCACGTGCCCTGTTTCTCCACAACTGCTACTGCTACAATAACAACACAAAGTCTAACTTTCGATCCAACTTCTGTCTTCGACATTTCATCAAACACCTTGCATGCACTACAGCCAACTCCAAGTTTCAGTTCTATTTTGGACTCTACTCCAACTAATTTCACCAATTACACAAGGAACTCAACTTTCCCAAGCTTAAGATCACTCCATGAGAATCTCCAGCTTCCGTTATTCTCCGGCGGAACTTCTGCCATGCACGGCGGATTTTCTAATCCGATGGGTAATTGGACCGTGCCGGAGACTCAGAAAGTTCAACAGTCTGAACTTGACTGTATGTGGAGCTACTGAAGTAGCAAGTGTTTAATTTTAATTAAGAAGTTAGTTAAGTAGTAATAAGTGTGTTAATGTTTGGTTTTGGTTTATTAAGTATGGAATTTACTGTGTGTGGCAGCTTTAGTAGTATTGTCACCTTGTTGTAAACGTTCGGCGTAATTTAATGCATGTTATTATTTCTTGTCTATTATATTCGTACGTGATTATAGCAAGTTGTTTCAGAATTTTCAGACCATCATTGAACAGCGATGATTATTTATTTTTTGGATTTTACTTGCCTTTTAGCTGGGTATTACTAGTATTTTTTTCGTCTATGAGTACTTGTTTGGCCTTTTTAACTTTGAAATGTCAGTTTTTTAATCAATTGTGAAAGAGGTTCATTCTAGTATCATGTAAATATTAATGATGAAATCAGGATTTTCGGATTCAAATATGAAAAAATAAGAAATCATTTGATATCTACTATAAATATTTTTTTATAAATTAGGACAGAAAAATTGTATGAACCTCTCTCCCTTATCTAGCTTCGCTTTGTAGCATGGGTTACTGGACTAAGAGTTAGGATCCACATGGAATATTGTCGATGTTTGCCAATGAGACAAATTAAATTGAATACACCTGCTTTCACTTTAACTTATTTACATTATGTTTTTTTTTTTTTTGTGGAGTACCGTATATTTGGTGTTTTACGTACGGAAACTCTGCCAGTATGTGTGTGGTGAAGTTCTTAAAAAAATCCATAATTACCTAACAACAAAATGTGTGTTCAATATTAAATCATTGCAAAAATAACACACGATGGGATAAGGCAGGGTGCTATTAGATACACTGAAATAGAGAGATCAGGTGAGCAAGTTTTGTCTATGTTTTCAGATACATGCAACCTATATTAGATATACATTAGATACATGTATTTGGGGCACTAAATACACGAGTGAGGTATGAGAATGACAAGCGAGATTTGTATATGTATCACAAAAATATGTGAATCCACTTGAATACAATATATCTAGAATAAAATATACCTAATTTTGATCTCATGTATTTCGAGATACATGTATCTGGATGTAATAAACTCTTATAAGATTCGTAATATTACAAAGTAGTGCATATCTATATACTTAGCTTTTAAACTAGTGAAATTTTTGTGAGCTTCTCTAATTTTAAATATTTTTGATGAAATTTCTAACTTTATTATTAATCCAGGTTTATGGATATGAAAGCTCCATATAATTGCAAATACATTGAAGCCCTAGTTTGAGATGAATGTGAATAGATAAATGTACTTCATACGCACTAAAGAACATTAATCTCGTGATTATGAGATCATATTATTAAATGTTACTATTATTTTTTGTTAATTTATCTGACATACTTTTGTTTTTAGTCAGTTTAAAAATAATGTTATGTAGCAAATATTTAATGATATTTATCCTACTTATTATGCAAAAAGTCCACAAATATATCGAATAATTTTAACACATTGTTAAGTCTTCACATACTTACACTTAAATTTCATGTCTTATATCATATAAATTAAAACGGATGGACTAATAATTTACTTGTTAGAATATTGGACATATTTTACTCTTTGAGGTACATGAAATATAATATAAAAATGTAGTAAAAAGGACAAGTAGTATATATAGCGTAGGTGAGAAAAAAAGGAAATGCACAAGTCCAAAGAGAGAAAAGTAAGGGTTGAGATTTGCCTTAGGTAGGAAACTTATAATCATGAATGGGATCTCCCATTCACTTCTCTGTTCCTTTCCTCTTGTCAATATATGACCTTTCAATTTTCCTCTGACGCACTCTACTCATTACTGTTTACTTTAATTCAACATTCCAATTTTATTTATTTATTATGAAATATAAGTATATCATGTAAATTATATTTAATGTGAGATGATTTAGAGCAAGTGAATCAAGTTATTTAATTTTTAATGTGAGTTTGAATACAGAAGTTTTTAGTTGAGATGGTGAGTCGAGGATTAATAGAAAGTGTGAGAGATTGACTTTAATAATTTTTAAGAGAGATAGATGTATGTAGAACAAAAAAGAAACTCAAAAAAGTGATCAGACAAGATATGTACATGTTCAGTTTATCGATGACATGCCACTAGATAAAAAAGTATAGAGGTCGATGATTTAGATAGAAGGATAGTAAGTAAATGAGTGTACTCGTCCTTAGTATTCATAAAGTATGTTATTCTTCATTTTGCTTTGTTTATCTTGTTATTATTTTTTTCAGTTTTGTTTTTATCACACTTTTTTTGTGTCGAGGGTCTATAGTAAACAACCTTTCTACCCCATAAAAGTAATAGTAAGATGTGCAACGTACATCACAGTGATGGATTCAGAATTTTCACTAAGCGGGTTCAAAAAATAAAAATGTAATTATATCTAGGATTTGAATTTGGAATTTCAAGTCTTGTGTTCAAATATTCAAAATCTATATATACATAAAAAAAAAAAAAATTAAAAAAACTTGCATATTCACGTAAACCCTCTCACCACTCTTATTGATTCATCCTATCCTCTTTTCTATTCGTAACATTACATTAAGTATAATGCTATACCTTTAAAAAAATATATTAACAACATTAATTTATGAAAAACACAAAGAAAATCGTAACAAAAAGAATTTCTTTGACATTTCAATAATAGAAATTGTATCACAAATAGACAAAGAAAATAATAATATCAAATTTTAAAGGTACAATAAATTTAATTCTGAAAATCTTAAGGTCAACTCATCAAATAAAAATATAAGTTTTTAACTCTTGTCTTGTTTTATTCATGTATATGAACTGTAAAGCAATGTAAAAAACTATTCAGTTGTTGATAGAGCCGCGAACTCAAAACAGGAAAATAGACATGGCTTTATCGTACGTGTCATCATCGTTGCGTGACTTACTGGCTTGCTGCGTCACGCAGTGCGTAATAATTTTGAAAGCGAGTGATTCTGAATTTTTAACTTTCGATTTTACGAGAAATATTTTAACTTTAATAACTTAGTTTTAAACTTTACAAGTTTATGACAAAAGAAAATTAAGTTTCAAGGTTACTTGGGTTTAATTACATGTTGCAAAAGAAATTTGCTCAACTAAGCCCATTAGATTTGGTTGCATGCCAGAAAATTAGGTCCAACAAAATTCATCCTAATCTTATTAGCGGCCCAGTTACTACATTTACCTCCTCTTTTCTTAAAGTAACTAAGTGAGTGGTAAATATTTTTTCATTTTAAATTAATGTTTGAGACTCTTGGATATAGAATTGCGTTTGTCGGGGAGCTTTACTTCACTGATATGGGACGTCTCGACGTGAATCCAATATGTGTATCGTGTATCCTACGCCATTTGAAAACCCAAAATGAAATAAAGTAAGTAAAGCCACCGTCAATCCGTTACACTACATTCTTTTAATTAGTTTTTGACCTTATTATCTTGATTTATGAAAGAACTTTCAAATTAAAGACACTTTTGAGCATAAATTCGCAATAGTACTAATTTAGCATGCATTTCCTAACAAATATTTTGCAAAATTGACATCAACAAAGGTATCAATAAGAGAGGGAGTTCGGTATGAAAAAATCTCAAAAAAGCTATCTTCAAATGAGGTCCTATTTGATGCGAAAGCAAATTAGTCGAATCTATATATGTTTAATAAGCTGAATAAAATCACACTGATGTGGCATGCTTTATTGATCAGTATTACTATTTCTTAAAATTTTGATTTTTTTCTCTCATTTTCTGTTCAATAACCTTTTAAAATAATTATTCACTTACCTTATTATTAGCCTTTACTACATTTAACTCTTCCTTCCAAAAGAAAATATGTAACAGCTAAATACATAATGGAGCAATTAATGTGCATTATTACACATTTTTTCCTATTAAATCATTGCTTCAACCCACGTACTATCAGTTTTTTTGTAATCCTTAATCACCTATAATTAATTAGACAATTCATTCCCCTATTTATTCATACCTTCTTAGACCTTTTCCTTTGGGGTTTCATGTAAGTATTTTTTTCATATCTTCTTATACCTTTTTGGGGGGTTTCATGTGATTTTTTTGTTCTTCTCTTTCATCTTCTTCCTTTTATTTTATCCATCCTTGATAGCATCATTTTAAACAGGATAATTACTATGAAGCTTTTTGATATGAAGAACAGAAGAGGAAAGTCAGGAGTTGATTGTATCCATTCTTGATTTTATTTTTAACGTATGTATATATGTTACCATCCTTTGAAAAGGATATTACTATGAAGCTTTTGATATAAGCCAAGAGTTTTTTATTATTATTATTTTATCAATATCAATGTTATTTAATTTTTTTAAAGATTTTATTTTAGTTTTAGGAAGTTAAAGTTCTAATTCTATTCAATACGTCTCTCTCCCTAAATCTAAATTTGTATAGTATAATATTAAAGTTAAGTATACACAATGTAATATTAAAGTGATGTGATATCTCTCTATGTTTATCAAATTTAATTATGTTTTTTATCTGAATTTTTTAAATAATCACTATTATAATAAATTGTCAATGAAAAAGTGTAGAGAAAACTGAACATTTACATCAATATATATACTCCGGTGATGTGGCACTCTCTAAAGCCACAATTCTTTTTACAATAGTAAATATTTTTTAAAATTCAAATAAAGATAACGTGATGTTTAAATTTGTAACTGATAATATTTCAAAAACAAAAGATGGCTTGTGGTTGGTATGATTTTGATGTTAGATGAGGTTAAGGCTTAATTTGGACATGGTATGAAAATATGGATGATGATTTTATAGCTATGAAAGTAGTTGTGTCGTGTTTTTAAAAAAAACTCAAACACATATATACACACATGTGTTTATTCTTTTATTTTATTTATTTGTGTTTTTCTCCTTTATTTGTTTTTAAAGTTTCACCTTCATGACTCATAAGTCATACCTATTAAACTTCCACTTTCAATAATATAATTTATCATTTTGTCTTATATAAATTCACCATTTTTTGTTTCATAAGATATATTCCTACTCAAAGATATTACTTTTATTTTTTGTTCCTTATATTATTATTATTATTATTATTATTATATTATAATATCAAAATTTTGTGCATTGAATCTGTATTTTTATTTTCATCATCTTTTTTTTTTTTATATGATTAAGACCCTAAGAAAGATATGTATTCTATTCATGTAACTGTTTTAGTTTGGCTTCTTATGGTTTTTTAATTATCGTAAATCTGTATTTTTATTTAGATGCAATACAACAAATGTTGATATATTAACGACTAATGAAGGCTCAAACAATACTATTAATAATTTACAAGAAATATATATATTAAATATTGAAATACATTCTTTTAATTGTATAAAGAATTATTTATATTTTCTTTAAAGATTCCTCCATTTTATCTACATAAATTCATAATTTATTGTTTCATGAGACCCCTACTCAAGATTATCCTTTTTATTTCATATTTGAAGTTATATTTTTCTTATATTACTATTATATATAAATAATTTTGGTTAATAAACACATTATTAAAGGAAAAATCTTCTAAAGAGCAAAGACTCGTAAATAATTCAAAATTGTAAAATTCATAATTTATTGTTTCATAAGACCCCTACTCAAGAATATACTTTTTATTTCATATTTGAAATTATATTTTTCTTATATTAGTACTATATATAAATAATTTTGGTTAATAAACACATTATTAAAGGAAAAATCTTCTAAAGAGCAAAGATTCGTAAATAATTCAAAATTGTAAAATTCATAATTTATTGTTTCATAAGACCCCTACTCAAGAATATACTTTTTATTTCATATTTGAAATTATATTTTTCTTATATTAGTACTATATATAAATAATTTTGGTTATTAAACACATTATTTAAGGAAAAATCTTCCGAAGAACAAAGACCCATAAATAATTTAAAATTGTAAAAATCATAAAATTTGAGTAGGAATATTAAATTGAACTAAGACTCTTAGTATAATTTTTTAAGACTCAATATTTCAAAATATATATATTTTATATTAATGAGGTACTATTTCAGAATCGCGCGAAGCGCGATCAAATTCCCTAGTTTTAATATAAATGTCGATTAAATAAATAAATGCAGTGATAGGGTAATTTTCCTTCAATTTTACCCTTTTTTAAAAAAATTCACATTTGTTGTCAATCAGCTAGTGTATCACGAGTCGTGACAAACAAAAGTGAGGAGAAAAAAGCACAGTAAACGACACAGCACACAGTGTGCGTGAGTGTGTTGTGCAAGTAAACAAAAAGTTTCAAAAAACCGATTCAGTAGTAGCTCTTTTAGCCCTCTTTTGTACTCTCTCATCTTTTTCCTCACCGTCTGCAAATTTTTTTTCTCTCTCTGATACACTAACAATGGAGGAAGAGTACTCTATGGATCCGGCGCAGTTACTGGAAGCAGCTACTGACTTTGCGTATCATCCTGGTATTTCTGATTTTTTTTTACTTGTTTCTCCTATTTGGTAAATAAGCAATTGGTTAATTTGTGTATCATACAATTTTTTCAGGCGCTCATTCCGATGCTTCAGCTCAAGACTTTCTCAATCGATTTCCTCTTCCAGCCATTATCAAGTATCTTCTATTTTCTCCTCTGTGTTGTCAGCTCTTTCTACTTGAGTTTTCGGCTTACAATACACTCTGTATCAATTTCTCACTGAATATGTGTGGCAGAGTTAGAAACTAAGCAAACTCTTTCCAAATGCTACGTTTAATCCTGTAGAGATTTGTATAGTTTTTTTTTTTTTTTGAAATAAAATGTTTAAACTAGATGAGAGTAATAGAGAGTCTCTCTGTTCATTTTTTACTTGTCATGTTTTGACTAATTTTTGAAGTTAATATTGAATTGGATTAATTGAATATTTTAAATTTAGATGTTCGATAACTATAAGTTGCAAGCCTTCTCATATTAATATGATGAAAAGATATATCTTAAAATGTTGATGGAAATTCATGCTTTTTGACTCTGGAAAAGTGAAACCTGACAAATTAAAGTGAACGGAGGGATTACGTTTAAGAGAGTTTAAACCTGTTTGAATCTTTTTGGAATGGAGGGGGTATTCAACTTTCTGAATAGTAGTGCTCCTACATGCTTGAATTGTACCATACCATATCACCTAGCTTAGAGAGATATAGTTTTGTCAATTTTCCACCAAGCGGGATTACACTGGGTCTGCTGTTGTAATTTCCCACTGAATATGTGTGGCAGAGTTAGAACTTATGCAAATTCCTTCCAATTACAAGGGCTAATGCATTAATCCTGTGGAGATTTGGGTAGGATTTGTTTTTTGAAATGAAATGCTTAAACTATATAAAAGTACTATAGATTACAATCTTATACAAGTAAGAGAATTTAAACAATGTTTAAACAATCTTGTTTGAGTATTTTTGGGACAGGGGGTATTCTACTTTTTGGAAGTGCTCCTACTGGCTTTCTGATTGTGAACTATGAATTTCTTGCAGTGCTTTGCAAACAAAAGCAGATTACCCTGGCCTAGAAAGTGCTTTGGTTGATTGTTTAGAAAAGCTTTTCAAAACAAGATATGGAGCATCACTCATTCCACACTACATGGTATGGCAATAATGCTAGTACTACTAAATAAGCTAAATTCAAATCTTCATATCTGAATGAGTTGTTGTGGGTCTATCACAAGTGTGTGGTGAAGTATGTATCAGCTATTTGGTTATTTACAGCTTAGACCATAATATTGTGGGGAATGTGAAACATTAGATTGATAAGTTTTCCCTTTAGAGTTAAATGCGCTAAGGAGCTTTAGGATTCTATCTAGTAGAGAGCAAAGGAGAAATGCTTACTCACAATGAATGAGGAAGTTTTAGAAAATTTAATCAACACTCACTTGTTATTATTCTCTGTTTTTGTGTGTATGAAGGAAGTTGGCCGTTGTCGGGTGATAGATATAGACAGCTATAATTTACTTACAGCGGTAGGGGTACAGCTTCCTTTCTAAAGCAACGTAAGGAATTTTAAGGTTCATTTTCTTGCTGTTCTTTCTGCTTCGAGCTATTCGAATGGAGCTTTAGCCTTTATCTTATAATCATGTAACTTCTGTTCATGACTGATTTAAAAGGTTCTTGATTAATAGCGATCAAGAATGATTTACTCTTTTACAAAAGTTCTGTTCATTGTAAACATGTAAACTATACCCAGTATTTTCACTGATTTGACTTTCTTTTATTTTTATGACTACAAGGACCCATTAGGGAGCTTAGAGAAAAATAGAGAAGGAAGTAAACATCATAAAATGTTTTGAAGAGACTTTTTTAGAAAATCAGAAACAGAAGCATTTTGATAACAATATCTGTTGGTTTTCAGAAATCAAACCAAAACCTTTTTCCCAAAGAGAAAATAATCCAATTAATAGGGTTTTCCTAACAGCTAATGTCTCCCCTAAAAATTGGTTTTCAAATTTTTTTCAGAAAATCTAGGCCTTTCAATATTGAGCCAAAACCAAATCCAGAGAAATGATCTTAGATAGCAATGAGGAAATATATTTGGAATTTATCTGTGTAAGGATCCTCTGTGTGGTCTTATAGAGCTAGTCAATCGTAAGTCGATGTACATTAATAGTTTATTCCCTTGTCCATCTCCGTGCAACATTTGTACCTACTCTTATGCGTGCCCATCATAATAGAATTTGAGGTAAATCATTAACTTTTTCTAAATTGCTTGGTCTGATTTCTGCTTATTTGCAGCCATTTGTTATTGTCGGTCTCGGTGCAGAGTCTCAGAAAGTCAGACATTTAGCATGCCAAACAGTAAGTGCTTCTATGATAATTTCAACCCTTTTTTGTTAAGCATAAGTATATGTGCCTCTAAGGTAAATTTAAGATCTTTTCTCCTATTAGTTTTTCAGTTTCCACCCAATTGAGACCCTTTCTGTATGGATGCTTATTTATCCGGAAGACATGTAGCTAACTCTGTAGGATGATGTGGGTGTATGAGAGAACTGAATAGTGAGGACACATGAATTTAACAGCTCTCATATTTCCGTGTATGTGTCTCTGGATATTTTAAGCAGGATTGATGTCAATCTGAAGTTGACAACTTGGCAAGTTTAGACTTTTCTTCCTATGAGAAACAGAATATGTGAAGTGGTTATTGGAATTACTGAATGTTATAATATACGTTGCTACACATTCTCATCATTCTGGAGAATTCACTTATTGTTGTATTTGCTTTTCCTCATTGAGTTGCTCCATGTCATTCTAAGTTTTAGCTATCTTTGTTTGACTTGCTGAAAACCATGAACGTGGGCAATCTTTTTTGGTCTCCAAGTTTGATTCTAATGCTGTAGTAACCATGTACAGGTATCCTGCCTGTTGGAGAATATTGATGAAGCAATTGTTATACAACTAATTCATGAGTATGGAGTTTATCAACTTTTGCTTAATTGCCTCATCAGTGGGTAAGACACAATGCAATTTCTTACCATATGCAATCACTGACCGAGCTGTCTATGATTTTTTTGTTTGTTTTGTGGAGATGGCTTTATTGGATGTACTGATCCTGGTATGGGCTTGCCTTTTTGTAGCAGTTGATTTGATTTCACGTGCTTCTTTGAGAGTCGATTTATTTCTGCTTTTGCCTGCATAGTTTGGACATCACATGTTATTCTTACTCCTTTAACTGTCATATGGGGTCATTCTAAGAGAATATGGTGTGGTCATGAGTTAGAAAAATAATATGTACAGGAGTTCGATCAGGGAACTAATTGTTCTCTTTTGTCGTTTCATCTGCTAGCATGATATGTTCTATTAAAGCACTTCAACCAGGTAGTATGACCTCTTTCCAATTCTCCTCCTTTAATTCACATTTTTCTTTTAGAAAAAAATTCTTATCGTGTCATGTGAACGAATGGCTCTTGTATTACCTACATGTCTACACTTCGTGAACACATTGTCAAATGTGTTGTTAGTTGGGATTCTACGTTTGCTCTTGGAAACAAAAAATCTGATACTTGTGACAATATTTCTTGTCAATGACAAAATTTTGAATGAGAACTATTATTTTATTTTCCCCTTTTGAACTTTTTTCCAAGCCATGTCCTTAAGATGCATCTTTGTGTGCATGCTATTTGCCTCCTGAATTGCTGACTAGTTGGTTTTGGGATCCCCATGTGGAGGTTGCTTGTGAACTGATTTTGTAACCTCATGCTGCTTATGTTTTGGAACCTGTCATCTTTTACTACAACATTCTTTAGTTTCTCACATCCTAGTGGTGATGCTTTACATGCTTAGATCTGTGTGATTTTTCTGTACCATATGCTTGTTGTGACTTCCTAAAGTAGAATTTTATATCATCAGTCGTGATGATGACCAGTGGTGGAGTCAGAAATTTTAACAAGGGGGTTCAAAATCTGAGAAGTAAACACGCGAACTAGTGGAAGGGGGTTCGACATCTATTATACATACCTAAAAAATAATTTTAACCATGTATAAATAGTAATATGTTTCGCCGAGGGGGTTCGGCCTCATTATATGCTGCCTCCGCCCCTGATGATGACATGTGATTAGCACACATCAATCAGAAAAGTATGCACCCTAATATCACTTCTTTTTTCTCTTCTAGAAATTGGGTCTGCTTGTAGTCATGTAGGGTTTATTATTCTGGCAGGGATGCGGAAGTTGCTGCTTCATCTACAGATGCAATTAGGAAACTGGCTACCCATTCTAAAGGCATTGTATGTAGTATTCTGCTTCTTATCAATGCACATACATTTCTGCATGCCTGTGGTGATAATTTGATCAGATATATTGTAAATATGATCTCTGTTGAATTTAATAAAATTTTCTGAAGGATATCATATGTCCTGATTCCGGCAATGAAGCGACAAACCTCGTGAACTTCGCAACCAACTGTTCACCTCTGGTATGTTTTTTTCTGATGGATGGTAAAAGTTCTGTGTGCCTATTGACAGACAATGTGCTGTATGCAATGAACAGCTCTGTTCTGAAATTAGTTCTTCACTTTCGGTCATGCTGAAATTAGTGTGAAAAACATGTCTAATGAGCAGTTCTCTTTTGAATTTAGTGCTTTACTTGATGTCATGTTGAGATAAATTATTATAGTTGTTATCCAGTTAATCATAGCATATGAAATTATTCTTAAATAAAGAATCTATGAGACAAAGACACTACTCTTAGTCTATACATACCACTAAGGAGCCTTGGCGCAATGGTAGGAGATTCTACCATTTGACCAGGAGGTCCGGACTTAAAGTCGGGGAACATTCTCTTGCAAACATGCAATGTAAAGCTACATAAAATTAACCCAACATAGTCTGGCCTTCCTTACACCCCCACATAGCGAGAGTTTCTTGACTAGGTTCCTATTCTTTATCCATCATACATGTTATTTTTTCTAATTTTGGTGAAGCTTCTTCAACATTCACTTTACTTTGTAGTTTATAATGAGAGAATCATACTTCAGAAATAACTTTTCGAATCCTAACTTGGTTTTACTTTTGCATAAATTACACATAAAATCTACATGACGTAAGTCCAAAAGTTCTAATATCTATAGTTCGTGTTCTCTTCTCTGATTCAAACAGAAATTATAATCATCTATCTATTTTGCTATCGATGTAATTGAGCTGGTGCCTTGTTGTGTCTGTCTTGATTATAGAACTTCTCTTACTCATCCCTCCACAATTAAAATAAGAAAGAGGAAATAAAGTAATTAAAGTGGAATCCAATGTCAGTGGTGGTTCTTGATTCATCTGAACCTCATTGAGCTGTGGTATGCTTTTTTCCTCCTCTATCAACTGTTATATATATTATCTCATTGCTAGTACTTGGGCTTTTCATTTTGCTAAATCCTCAGGGACGAGTTAGAGTTTTAGCTTTGATAGTGAAGTTATTCTCCATTTCCACTTCTGTGGCATCAAGAGTCTACAGCTCAAATCTTCTTAGCTTGTTGGAGACAGAAATCAGCAATTCAAATGACACATTAGTCACTTTGAGCAGCTTGGAACTCCTATATGAGGTTTGCTTCTAGCTAGATATAAAATTTTCCTCTACATGTTATCATTGCAGTTGCATTTTGCTTGTCACTTAATAAGGTCTTATCAGCTATAAATTTTGCATATTTGTTCAGCAGTGGTAGAACATATCTCTGGAATTTTATTTGTTTGAGAAAAACTCAGGAAGTCCTTGTCAAAAAAGTTGTGCACTCTTCACGCAAAGTATTAATTCTTTACCTGTTTGACATATCACAAAGAGAATGCAGAACTAACTTCTTTGATCCCAGAATAACATTTGCGGACTCTGAACCATAACTATCTAGTAGTATTGGTGATGTGACCATGCCTTTTTTCTTTATGCCAAGCACTTGATGTTCTCTTTTCCCCAGCCATTGAGTAAATTTACTCTTGTTGCTTTTTTATGTTTTGTTCCTTCAGCTACTGTTCTGAGAGGTTGGTCCCATAGTCTATAGTAAACATAGAAGAAAATGAAATAATCAGGTAAGATACTCTGAAAATATAAGGCAGAGAACTAGGGTTAGGTATTTACCTAAAGCAACCTTTTCCTTGTCTGCCGTTAATACCTTATCAAAACTTTGGATCATCATGTGATGTGGAGGAAAGGTGGCTACTACTTGGAAGTTTCCATATAAGTTTAAGAGCTTTTTCCTGTATATGTTTTTCTTTCTCTAGCTATAGGGGATCTAGTGGTGGCATATATCAAATATACTCTTCTTTTATTTGGGGGTTTGTACTTGTGTGTTAAGCTGCTATATGTTTTATTCTACAATCACTTAATAGCCTTTTCTTCAATTTGTTCCTGATTGATGTTTTACTTGTTTTTCTTGTATGTGCTGGGTGAATGAAGTTGGCTGATGTTCAGCACAGCACTGAGTTCTTGTCAAGGACTAAGCTTCTCCAAATTCTTACTTCTATTATTAGGTCTGCACACAAGAATTGCTGCTTGTGATTCTGAATTTTATGTTCTAGTCATTCAATCATTGTAACTATCATATTTATTTCTTCACCTGTCTATCTTCCTTAGTGATGCTTCTGCTGAATCGATTTTGCGATCAAGAGCAATGATGATAACTGGAAGGCTGATGGCTAGGGAGAATGCCTTTGTGTTTATCGATGAATCTGGTGATACTCACATATACTTCTTCTGTCTTAATTGTGTGCCAAATTTGTTTGTTTGTTTAAAATTTATTAACTTTACAAGTTGTAGGTATGTTGATTGAGTATTAAAGTTTTCATTTTTTAAATTAGCTTATCACTTAAGTGATGAATAAGACATGTTACATGTACATGACTCTGGTATTGTATTCAGGTTTTATGGTGTATAATTAATGGACTTGTGAGTGGGTCCAAGTAGAATTCTTTCCATCAATTAATTCAATATTGATTGAAGCCCACAGTATATGTTAGGTAAAAAAATTCTCATATCCAAGAAATTAGCATCGTGGTTTGGCATATTTTAATTAGAATGTAGGAGGAGCTCAATTTCATCCTCAAAATCTATTGTATGTTCTAGTTAAGGAAATACGTATGTCCAAAGTATATATATAGGTAGGCTTTGGTTTTGTGGAAGAATTTTATGTGCAATATTTGGACTCGTTAAGGCAATGGATGGGCGGCCCAAAATTATTATAAACCCTTTTGGAAGCTTACATAATTTAGGCAGGATTACTATAGGACAACACCCTCATGTGAATGAATGTAAGCATCCAACTCAAAACCCCAAAGGCCCCTTAAGGCAGGGTGTCAATGGCCCAAGACCGTTATAGACATCAATTGGAAGCCCATTTTCAACCCATATGGGACAACAGAACTCAACTGGTTTTAATGTATGCACGGTAGAAGTGGTGTATCAACTGCAGTTAATAAGATGTTGGCTGATCTTAAGGATTTTTTATTTATTTTAAGTAGGAACTAGGAAGGTTATATATATAATCTAGCAAATTTAATTCTTTGCTTGGCATTCCTTTCTTCCCCATTGTTGTCTAAGTTAACAACTCAATATGTATCAAAAGAGGATAGACTCTCTTTGTGGTATGTTTTCTATGAAGTTATCTGGTACCACACTGTTTGTTGTAATATATCCTACCTTTTCTTTTGTTGTTCTACTGCAGCATTTGCTTGCTTGCATAATAACACTTTGGTTGTTATAATGACTTTCAGGTTGTAGAAATCTTATTTCTGCCATTAATGGAAGATTCGATTTCTTAGAAAGTCAAAATGCAGATGAATGTGAATGTGCTCTTGAAGCATTGGGACAAATTGGATTGTGTAAGTTTTTAATTTTTTTATATTTATGTCCATGTGATGTAGCTCAATTTCTCCTTGACAGAAGTATACCTTGAACTACATTTATTTCGACAAAAACTTTAAATAGTTGAGGCAATTTTTATTTAGGATTTCTTTAAATTGATGATCACACTTTGTACTTATGAGACCTCTGCTGATTTTTTGGTGATTAACTTAGAGTTTGAGCCCTACTCACTTTTTAAGTATCTGAACAAAGTGTGTGTACTGTAAGTGTGCATGACAATAGTAAGAGAGTATTGAACTGTCCTCAGGTGTTTCCCCTTCTTTTGAGAAGGTAAAAGGTTGTTGTCAAAACAATACAAAGTATCAACTCCAAAAGATGAGATAAAAAGAAGAAAAAAAGATTAGACTAGGCTACTAATATAGTCTCACTGTACATGAATAGTTTCAAAAGCCTCTAAAATGGTCTCAGCTTCGCCTATGTATTCCATTTTACACTAAGAAGCAAACAATTGAACTTGATCTTCCAGGTTGGGTTGGTTAATCCTTCAAAGCATCTTTGATTCCTTTCTCTCCAAATAGTCACCATATACAAGCCATGATTGTGGCCCATTTCTTCCTTAGATTTTGTCTTTACTTTTAGCTCCAGTATTTCAAGAGGTGATGTGGTAATTACCCACTGTAATCCCCTTTTTACCCTTTATACAGTATATTTCTTGTTTCCCCTTTGATCACATTTTTTTTGTGTGTTTGATTCATTAAAAATGAAGAAAGATTGAAGCTCTGATGCTATAATTTCTTACATACCCTATAGAGATCTTTATGCAAGAGCAGAACTCTGGTCTAAGTCAGTGTCTAAGAACTAAGCCATGGATTACCATGTCACGTGGAAGGACCTTACGATGTGAAGCTGTCGTTACTCATTATTGTGCATGATTTGTTGGTCTAGTGACGCTAGTCAAGCTATCTAGAAAATCTGGTTAGTGGTACCGGCTATTACTTTTTGGTGCATCTGGTCAGAAAGGAATCCTAGGTGATCTGATGGGATCTCAACTCCAAGTCAATCTTCAAAATTCAATTGTTTACTTAGTCTGTGTAACTGGCTAAATCTATACCTTTTTTGGATTGTGCCAGCTCGCCAGATATAGCTTAATGTTTTGTACATGAGTAGACTCGATCTTCCTTTTGTTATTTTTGCTTATGCATCTGCTTGATGCTATTAATGAAACCTTCTTACTTCATCAGAAAGAAAAATTGTTGGTTTGATGACTCAGTGAGGAAATGCTTAATGGGCTAGAATGGTGTGTCATGATATAGTGATGTACTAGCTCAAAGATCCATATGCTTTGTATCCACGTGACGTGATGGTAATCCTGACTTCTGTGCGTATTTTATCATTCTGGACTGTTTTTGTAGTATTATGGTTGCTTCATAACTATTCTCAGGTATTAATGTATTCAGGCTATGAAAAACCAGTACTTAGGTTGCAGCTTTATAATTGTAGGGAATTGCCATTGGTGTTAATTGATTCTGATTTCATTCTTCTAGTATCCAACCTACTAGATATCATCGTTTATGCTGAGCTAATATTTAATCCTCTCATCAAATATTCTTTGGTCTGTCCTCTTGTTCTTGATATGAATATACTTCTCGAAGTACTGGTTCCTGCATTCATGCAGAAGTATGTTTTTTTGTTGCTCTTTTGACCGCTGGAATTTCTTTCTAGCACTGTGTAGTTCACTGTGACACATGCCACTACAACATATTCACTTGGTTAAGAGATTATGTCGTAATTGAAAAAAAAAATTGTCCTTGACATCTTGCAGGCAGCAAAGGGGCAGCATCACTTCTCTCAGGTGCACAGCCTGCAGGAAGACATGTGATTTATGCAGCCTTTGATCAGCAACAGCATGGTAAACAGCTGGTAAGCACATCTTTTTTTCTGACATTTCCACTCTGCTATGAGTGTTGAATTTGAGACTCCTTAGAGGGCGAGCTTTAACTTATGTTATCCATGTCAATTTACACAACCTCAATTTTATGAATGTTGTGTGAATGATGGCAACTTATTATTGTATTCTAATGTAATTCAGCTGGAAGCAAAGAGGAGACGTATTAATATCTTTATCTATTGCTTAAGTTCTGTGCGGAACTCATGCAAACTCTGACTTCATGATTTAAAGAGATTCAAAAATTTGTTACCGACTAATCTTTACTTGGGAATTCCTTTGAATGTAAAAAACAGGCGGCATTGCATGCTCTTGCAAACATTGTTGGAGAAACTCGTGCCGAAAAGGATGTATTGCTGGATGGTGATGCAGAGCAGAATCTTCGGCGCCTGATCTATGAAGCAGCATCCAAGACTTCAAAGCTGACACCTTCAGTGAGTTTAATTTTTGTGTGACGTCTGGTTTCATGATAAAAAAAAAACCCTGTAATCAGCACTCCATGCTCCCAAAAAGGGTAAGGGGGATTGAGAGACAGAGAGGGTAAACAAATGGATTATAAAAGAAAGGAAAACCTGTGAAATGCATTACCCTCGTGGGTTGAAGAGTTTTATTGGGATTTGATGTGCATGAACTGTTGTTAGACTTGTGTTCAACATTAATAGCCAGTTTGCCCAAGCTTTTGGGAAGCGAAAAGTGCTTATTTTAGCGAGTTGTGATATTTGGCCAAACTTTTAGGAACAAATAAGTGTTTTTGAGTAGTAGTAGTAGAAACTATTTATCAGAAGTTAAAAATAGTAGTTTTTCCCCAAAAGCACTTTTGGAACCTTGACCAAGCACAATTACTGGATTAATATTGGTAAAATTGCTTTTGAAATTCATTGCCAAATACATACTCCTACTCTGCAAAAGTCTTTTTGAAAAACAGTTCTAAAAAAATGCACTTTTCAAAATAAGCAGATTTTTGGAATTTTGGCCATACAAGTCTTCAAATTCTTCTTTGACTCTTTTCTAATATAATTTCTTGACATGAAGTTCTTGGTTATTTATTTGAATTGTTCCTTGTGACAGGGTCTCCTCTTATCAGTTCTTCAACAGGATTCAGAAATTCGTAAGGCGGTGAGAGATATCTCTGCAGCTAATGGCTTATATCATTTTACAGAGAGGAATATTTAGAAGAAAGTTTCCTTGTTTATGTTATCCTTTTAAAAATCAACTATTTGAAGAAGCTATTCCTTCCTACCTAGCTGTACTGTGGAAAGTTTTAATTCTTTTAGCAGTATAGTGAGATGTGTGATGCATGTGAATCGTTTCAACTTAATTTGGATTTTAAAATTGACTAAAGTGTGCATAGGAATAATGGCTACAAAAAAATAGTACTCTATTATTTTCTTGTCATTTATGTATTTTCTGTAGAGTGCAAAGTAATGCAAACCATTTCATGATGCTGGACGTGTTGGTGCGATCAATGATCATAGAGTTTCTCACAGTTAGTAAAAGTCAGTATCTTCTTATGTTTACAGGGATACAGAGTGATAACTGGGTTGGTGATGCGACCTTGGTGCCTGATGGAGGTTATTTCCAGACGAGAAATAATAGATATAGTAACTGACGCATTTAAAGAGACAGAAAAGATAGGTTTGTATGCTAATATCCAATTTGCTTGACAGTAGACACTAACATTGTTACTATGGGTACAAGTATTTGCTGTTTGCATATCTAAATGCAGTCATTTGATGACATTTTTTTGGCATCATCTCTGATTGATCATGTCTTCACCTAAAGGACTTCTGTGCTACTGCATTTTCTCATTCAACCTTATGTTGGCCCATATTCACGTGAAACTGCAAGTTAGTGTATTTCTTGTTTTAATTGTCTGTTCATCCTTTACCCTGACAATTCCATTAACAAATAGTCTTTAACTTACCATATCTCCATACTACAAAAGTTGCATCATCAGCTATTGATTTTTCAACTCACCTGGCTAAGCAGGACTTTTGACAGATATTGAAAGACCACCCTCATTTAGGCCTTAATTGTAGTTGTCTGTGTCCTCATTTATATCTTATATGTATTCTATTGTAAAGCTGTAACTATTTCACATAATATATGTTCTTGTTTACAAATATACATTTCTAAAGCTCGAGAAATATTTATGTTTTAACTATGGTATACGTGCATGAACTTCCTTTCCAGTTATATAGAGATTCAGAATCACCAAAAGTTGACCTGGTTTCAATTGCAACATTTTCTTCTTTTTGTGTCCATCACAATTTCTTTTTATATAAAGAAAACTCTCGATGACTTCCCGTAGATAAAGGGTTGAACATGTAGCTTTTAAGAGAACGAATTGAATGGCTAAAAATGCAACAGCTGGAATCATAAGGCCCAAACCCAGTATATTCGGGGCTTTTCTTCTTTCCCAAAATGATGCCATAAGTATCATTGATGACACGGTTTAACCGCCTGAAGAGCAATTATATGCTGAGAAAATAACTGTGAACCTTTCTGAAGCAGTTTGGATTTTCCTGAAGTTGGTTAATGTTCAGGTATGGAAGCAAGACACAAATGTTGCCAGTTAATCTACAAAGTTTTCACCTCATCTAGTAAACTGATCGCTGACAATGCACTTTCGGGTATAGCTACAAAGGTGCGTCTTTCCTGATTTATATCACTTGTGCTCAAATCTTTACAGATTACTTATAGTTCATTGTGGATCTGAGATGGGATTGGTCTTCAATCCTAGAGTTCCCTGTTATAGAAGTCTGACGTGTCCTTATTTTCACCGTGTATATACATATAGTTATGCCTACTTACTATAGATATAGACAAGCATGTCAGGCGTTCAACCTATTTTTTGCATTTTAGTTTTCTTTGTGCAAGTACCGCGGTGAATTTGCAACAACAACATACCCAATGTAATCCCACAAGTAGAGTTTGGAGAGAGTGGTGTGTACGCAGTCCTACCTCTACATTGTGAGGTTAGAGTGGTTGTTTCTGATAGACCTAGCTAAGTAACGCATATCAAAGATCAAGTATGTAAAACAAATACAGTAGTGAAGAAGACATACTGAAAAATAATTGAGAAGGGAATAGTAGCAACAACAAATAATATGATAACTGAAGCAAAGGAAACAACAAGTATTACTAAAATCGAAGAATAAGAGTAATAAGCAATACTGATAAGGAAACTAGACAACATTCTATTATCTACTAACCTTATATCATAATCTTAGACCTCCATATGCTCTTATCTAGGGTTATGTCTTCTTTGAAGTTTATTTTAATGAGCATAAAACCAGGGGAAGAGTCTACTTTTCAGTTGTTTCACTTTTATATGTTTGTCACTGTGCCTATGTGGGTCATAGAAAAGAAAATACATAAAAGCCTAACAAGTGAGCCATGCTTCCTTGAATTTTGCCCTCGGTAAGATGTAGGTGTGTCATGTCTTGTTTATACTTCTTCGGCCTACTTCTACCACTCCTCAAATTCACCATGGTCAACCTCTCATACCTCCCCACTGAGGCATCTGTGCATCTCCTTTTCACATGTCCATACCATCTCAGCCTCACTTGACTTGTCTCATCTTTGTCCACCATGGAAGTCATTCCGACCTTGTCCCAAATATCTTCGTTTCTAATGCTATCTCTCCTAGTATGCCCACACATCCATCTCAACATCCACATTTTTGCTACTTTCATCTTTTGCACATGCAAGTTATTGACCAACTAACACTCTGCCTGGTCAAGTTGGTGCATTTGCCTATTTATTTATTTATTGAAGAAGTAAGATGTTTCACTAAGTGAATTTGCCTATTTATTGTCAACTGCATGGAAAATTTAAAAATGAGTTGGCCACGATGGTAGCAATAGGAGAGCGAAAGAAATGAGATATAATTTACAGAAAGTCCAAGTTAAATCTTCACATAAATACAATCTTTTAGCCCAAGTAAACGTCTTTTAAGATGGTTGAGGACTGATAGCCCAAGTGACATAGTGTTTGTTTCATCAAAGATTCTTAATTTTCTGTTCCTTTTCTCCTCTCGTTGATGGTGTGCTTTCCTACATTTGTGTTATAATAATGTGCTTTCCTGCAGCTGGAGGAAGCTATCAACAGAGGTCCTTATCTAGGAAGAAAGCTTTCTGAAGCACAACCTGCAGTGATGACTGAGCAGAGATTTTAGTCTTCTCAACATCATAGAAACTATCTTACAAGTTACAAGTGTTAATTTCAGCCATGACGTATCAGCTTTAAGATGTTAACCCTCAGTAGTACATAGTGGATCAACTTGCTTGCTCACTTCCCTTGTAAAATGTTCCCTTTTCTGTAGGCAAACAGCAACAAAGACTGTATACTATGTGTGTAGGCATTTGGTGCTAACTGCTAAAGTTGGGTTTAGCTATTCGAGTTCACTGGCCTATTTCACTTCCAAAGATCTCATCCAAGAGACTTCACTGCTTTGTCATGCCGAATTGATAAATATTTGAACTCAAGCTTCCTTAGATGAGCCAACTTTGAGCTGAAAAATCTCTGTTGAATCTTGGTTGTAGGGCTCTACTACGTGCTACGATTATCGTATTTTATTACTGTTGTGCTCCTCACTTTGGGTATCTTTATTATTTTGTTGTCAATACTTTTCTCCTCTTCTGCATTTTCATATGTTGTATTTTTTAAAACCATCTTTGAAAACACTTTTTTTTTAAGTTGAGGGTCTTGTCGGAAACAATCTTTCTACCTCTCCCAAGGTGCTGATAAGGTCTGTATACCCCCACCATCTCTAGACCCCAACTTACGGAAACGAGATTACATTTGATATGTTGTTATTGTTGTCATTGTTGCTTTACATGTGCTTAATATGTAAAATCAAATGTGTGAATAATATAGAAGTTGCTGCATTATCCGTTAAGTGAAAGATAATTAGCATTGCAACAGTCGTGTCAAGAGACCTAACTAGGTTGTCCTTCCGCAGATTATTTCGAGACAAATAATATTTTGATATTACAACAAAGAAAGTTGTATACTAATAATATTAATTTAAAATGCTCGAATAAATAAATTTATAACATTTTATAATTAGTTTTTAAAAATATTCACAATTAAATAATAAATGTTAGTTAATTTAAATTGAAAATGTGATTATTTTTTATGATATTCGCGCAACGCACGGGCACATATACTAGTTAGGCCCAATAGCGTTGGAAATGGATGGTCTTGAACTTTTATTCCCTGCTTACCCTGTGGGTAAACCTTCACGATCACAACTTAAAGTCTTGCTTGTGTATCACAACTTGTTAAATTTGAAACTTTAATCGGGGCTTAAAAGTTCAAAATCACTCACCTCAAAAGTCATTCTCGTAAATCACCCGACCGGTAATGGACGGATCTCATCTCTTTTGCTCTTAATGGGTTTATTCTTTTTTGTTGGGCTAATAAAACTTGGCCCATATAACACATCAGCCTCCACCAACACAAGCCCATAATCAAAATCAAAAGAAAATAAGATTGTGAGGATAAGGATGGGATACCAGTTAGTACAAAGTTCTTCAGCTTTTGCTGTTGCTGTAGAGAGTGTGAGAAATACAGAGAAAAAGCCATGGCAGGAGCTTGCTTATCTTCTTCTTGTTTGAGCTTTACTACAAAATTCAACACCATTTCTCTCAATGGACCACATGCTGATGCATTTAGGTCACTCAGTTTTTCTGCTAACACTTCCCTCAATCTCTTCTCTAAAGGTATGAATTTCATTTACAACGAACCCATCAGTTCAAGAATCCATTTTTATCTTTTATTTTGATTTTTCAGAGATTAATCCGTATGGGAATTGGTTTTTCGGGGGTTGATTTTTCCAATTTTTTCAACAAAGAAAGTTGTTTCAAATTGGTTAGTAGAACTTAGAGTTTATGGTCCTATTGATTTTCTTTGAATTGCAGGGACTGTTTCAGTGAATCCGGTGCAAATGCCGTGTCGTCGTTCCATTGTTTGTGAAGCTGCTCCAACAAAGAAAGCGGATTCTGCAGCTAAAAGGGCAAGACAAGCTGAAAAGAGGAGAATTTACCACAAGGCTAAAAAATCTGAAGTCAGGACTAGGATTAAGACTGTAAGTTGCTTTCACTTTTGGGTTTAATTATATTTAGTTATTAGTTTGAAGTTCGAACTGTCAACTACTTCGTTAGTTTTGCATTGTTCCTATTAATATTTTTATACAACATGCTTGTTGAGTTCTTCTGTAATGTGGTTTTTATTGTGCGATTGATATTTTTCTTTTTAGTTTCACTTGTGGTGTCAAGATAGGCTAGGTAAAGAAACCCCGCTTGCTTCTTGGTTTGGTTGAAGTTGATCTAAAAATTTGAATGAATTCTGTAAATAATTAAAGGAACACTGAAATGGAGTAAGAATTGTGTGCAGAACACGTCTACCGTGAGACAACAGAATTGGTTAACCTCTGTCCCTTCCAAAATACTTGTAGAAGCTAGATGAAATTATGTACTTGTTTAGTCAGTAATCTATTACGGCAAGCATTTTGATGGATTGTCTGAGTAACTTTTTCTTTGACTACTTAAAATTGTTCCGTTGGTTCTCCTAGCTGAATTTTGTATGAATGGAGACATAGAATCTTCAATGAAACTGCTTGTTGTCTTTTTAGTTTGAAGTGTTATGATAGGACCTCCATGGAAGTAGAGAAAACTCATTTTGAGGAAGAGCTATATTTGCATAAGAGTCCCTATTTTTTTTAACGTGCCCCATAAATTGATTTAGCATTGAGATTTGTTAAGTTCTGATGTTTGTTTATTTATTTATTTTATTTGAGTGCATGTCTAACATTCTCGAAGTCTCATCTTTGGATGTATGTCATATGGTACACCAAGTCTTATTTAATTGTTTCAAGCAACAACGAAAGAGTGAGTGGATGAGTGTAGAGTTGGGTAGTAGCACATTTTATGTCAATCTGATTTCTTCCGTTTTGATCTTTAAGGTCTTAGTCACTATTTTTCCCGTAACTGTTGAGACAATAAACTGCTGATGGGTTTGGATCTTTGAGGCAAAAGTAGGGTCAAAATTGGAACTGCAGAGAATAAACCGAGTTAAATTTCAATAAAATAGTAATGCATTAGGATTGGGAATTTATGCTAAGCAACTCTTGCATGGCTTTTGTTGTCCTTCATTTAAATATGAGTTATACATATGTCAAATAATCACCTTTTGCACTTACTCTCTGCTCTTAGAGATGTCTCGTGAATATGCTAAGGTACTGAAGGTTATAATTTTGGAGCAAAATACCATTTTCATCATGTCTAATTCTTAGACGACTCTATGAAGGTGCAAATACTACCTTCAGTTTCATTTTAGCTAATCCTATCTATTAGATAATAATGTGAAAGCTATCCTAATCTATTGGATAAAGATGAAAAATTAAAAACAATAACCTCAAAGACTAGTGTTGTGCCTTGGGTTGCTGTGGAGTGTCATGATTCTGCAGTCAGCATAGCTTCAAATTCCAGCTTTTGAGGCTGAGTCATAGCTTCAACTGTTTAGGCCTATTTGACAGTTATTAGAGCTCTCTTATGGAGTCAGCAAATTTGCTTTCATTTGGTTTCCTTCCGTTCACCTTTTTCCTAATTTTCAGAGTCCTGGAAGAGGAATATTGTTTGTTGGGGTCATTGATATTCAGGATGTGGAGATAATTCCCCTTCATAATTTTGTCTTTTGTTACCTCCAGTTATATAGACACATGGTGCACTAGGCTAGGTGATCCCAGAATTTGCATGACTGAACAAATTGAAGATTTTTAGATTGTTGAAGCCCTTGTATTACTTAGTTTTTAAGATAAAAAGATGTTAGAAGCTACTCTGATATGCCCTTGCACCATCCGTCGAAGTGAATTGACAAAGAGATAAAAATCGCAGACTATAATAAGAGAAGAAGGGTTAGTAACTAACAAGAGCTGTTTCTCTCTGAACGGAAACTTGAACTTGAACCAAGATTTGGTTGTACTTGACTGATTAGTGGAGATTTAATGGTATTTGAGAGTGATGAACAAATCAAGTGAGAAGATTCGCTATTCTGAGAAGTTTGTGATGAAATTATTGTCATTGCTAAATGAAGTAATGTTGATTAAGTTCCCATAAGCACGACCTTAGAAATGAACTCAACAGATTCATGGATCTTTTGATAAAAGATAAATTATGGGCATTAGTCAACTTTCATGGACTGCACCTGGCTGCATTTACAGCATGAAATTAATAAATTAGAGGAAGATAAGAAGAAGCATTTTCAGAAACGCGTATAAACACATCGAGAAAAAGATATAAGCTATCACAGGCTTCTTCATCTCAGCATATGGAACCTAACCTTTGTTCTTTTCTAGGTTTTGGAAGCATTGGAGACATTGAGGAAGAAAACTGATGCAGAGTCAGAGGAAGTTGTGTCAGTTGAGAAGTTGATTGCAGAGGCATATTCCGCAATCGATAAAGCAGTTAAAGTTGGGACACTTCACAGGAACACTGGAGCGAGAAGAAAATCTCGTCTTGCTAGAAGAAAGAAAGCAGTTGAGATCCATCATGGCTGGTATGTTCCTGCTCCAGCCACTGAACCTGATCTTGTAGCCACAGCTTGATGTCAATCCATATTTTTCATATTCAATGTAAAGCAGTGGTATCTTGTGGAGAATTCAGCTTCCTAGAGTATGATCAGATATTTTTCATTCTTGATATTGTATATGACCTTGTTGTGCAATCAATTTCTACTTCTCTTTTGTTTCTTCAGTTAATAATTATGTGTACTTTCATTTTGTTTCTTGAACATACTATGTTGTTGATGTTTAGAGACGAGTTTCCAGACTCCACTCGTAGGATTACAAATGGGTATGTTGTTTAGAATTCAGCGTTCGTGAGAAATCCATCTTCAAATGGATGTTTATTGGGATGTTAGAACACACTGATAGTGTAAAAAAAATCTATATATAGAGTGTATGACTTAAATTCGTCACTCTATGAGTCTCTTCCTTTTTGCGTATGGCATCAGCTCTCCCTTTGGCAGCACCTTCACTATTGATGAATGCCAAGTGTTTTTCCTTGCGTGGATCCAATGAAAACTTGATGAGTCTATCTATATTTTTACTAACAATTATGTATTTACTTTGTAAAAATGAACTCACGTAAACAATGTTTTTTTTTTCGTACATTAAATTCCGCCCACCATAAAAATTATATAGTATATTGAATAATAAATTAATGAGAACACCTGCTTCATCGTCGAGTTTCTTCTAAAATCTAAATAGGAAGCGATAACAAAATTGAGTTTAATTGAAATACATTTGCATACACTCCTTAAGGTTCCAATTTATTTTTATTTTATAATTTTAACAAATTAATTTTATCTGAAAATACCTGACGTCTGAAAAAAAAATACTTATTATATCCAAGTTT